AAATTGTACAGGTCTCCATACTCTAGGCATCGTAACCGATCGTAAAGGATGTCAAGAACCAAAATCCGCCAACTTTTATTAAAATAAAACCATTTAAAGTGGGTGTTCGGATTTATATGTCACTTAGTATACAGGGTGTTTCAGTTTATTGTTGCATAACTTTAAGATTCGATAGAACTTTCAAAATTAATGCATAAAGTCTATATAAACATGGGTCGAAAAATGCGTGGCTTCCGAAATACAGGGTGTTTAATTTTACTTTCTAAATTAGTTTTTTTTAAATATTACGAACAATATTTGATGCATAACAGTGAAAATTGGTATACAAGGGTTTTTTTGTACGACAAAACGAACCATGAGCATAGTTTTACTGTAGCCGCTAGAGGGCGCTCTCTACTGTACATGTAGTGTATTAAAATGACCAAAAAATTTTTTGCTCTTTGAATAAAAAAACTGATTCTTCGCACTTTTCTGCATAAAAAAGCTCTCCTGTGTGTTTTTGTTATAGTTAGCCGTTTTAGAAATATTTCGATTCTTAAGGTTCGATGCATTTTTGATTATTTATGATAAAATAACGCTAAAAAGTCAGTAACTCGATAATTTTTAGAAGTAGGCTGTGCCTGCAAATATTTTTGAAATTGAAAGCAGAATAAGGTTAAACGTCAATTAGTTGACAGTCTGTTGAAACCTGAAACGTTTTTCTTTTCTTATACCTGTTTTTTTTGTAAGTTTCATAAAAATGCCATTTTTATTCTCCAATCAAGAGTTAGCGGATATTCATTTTGTGTATGGCTTTGTAAATGGAAACGCAGCAGGAGCAGCCAGAGAATACGCACGAAGATTTCCAAACAGACGACATCCAACTCGCTCAGTATTTGTAAGAGTGCATCGCCAAATAATTGAAAATGGTTTTGGAAATCTCCAAAGGGATCAAAATATAAATGTTCGTCAGCACAGATGTACCCGTATGATTCTGCATGAGTTTGGTAGAGCTCCGACCACAAGTGTTAAGAGAGTTTCTGGTGCCTTGGGAATTTCAGCAAGCCATGTTCACCGTGTTCTTAGAAATGACCATAGACGTCCTCACCATTTGCAACCTGTGCAAGGACTACCGCCAGGGGACGGAGAACGAAGAATCACATTTTGTCAGTGGATTCTAGAACTGATAATAATAGGGAGTTTTTAAGTAACGTTTTATGTACCGATGAGTCATGCTTCACTAGACGTGGAGTGGTAAATTTTCATAATCAACATATATGGTCGCATGAAAATCCGCATGCAGTTCGGGAAAGATTTTTTCAGCATGAATTTAGTGCGAACGTGTGGATTGGTATCTACCGTAATCGACTATTTGGACCCTACCTTTTGCCTGCAAGGTTAAATGCTGCGACCTACTTGGAATTTTTAAAGGCTGAACATGCAAATATGTGGGATGATGTTATGTTAGATTTAAGAATATTGGCCTGGTTCCAGCTTGATGGTTGTCCAGCTCATTATTCGAGATTAGTTAGAAACTGGCTGGATGAAAATTATCCAGAAAGATGGATCGGCCGTGGAAAACCAGTCGCCTGGCGATACCCTGACCTAATCTTTGTGTGGGGATTTCTAAAAGAAGAAGTGTACCAGAGTCCCGTAACCACAAGAGATATGCTAATAGACAGAATCAGGAATGCATGTGATGAAATAAGGCCTTATTTGAATAACGCTATACCACGTTCTATCATTCGTATATGTGAATTGTGTATTGAACAATTGGGTTTACATTTCGAGCAACTACTTTAGATTTTTTATGTTTGTCCTAACTATCCAATAGCATTTTAGTTGTAAATAATTAATTTAATTTGTTAAAAATAATATTGTTTTTTTTTATTTGGAGTTAGGAATTATTGCTGTGTTTAAAAACACAATCTAAACGATCATCTTAATTGCTTGTAAGGCCCAACTCGAAAATGTAAAAAAAAAATATTATTTTCCAATAAATAATTAAAAATGCATGGAACCTTAAAAATCGAAATATATCAAAAACGGCTAACTATAACGAAAACTCACAGGAGAGCTTTTTTATGCAGAAAAGTGCGAAGAATCATTTTTTTTATTAAAAAAACAAAAAATTGCACTAAGAAAATTTTTTCGGTCATTTCAATACACTAGTAGAGAGCGCCCTCTAGCGGCTACAGTAAAACTGTGCCCATGGTTCGATTTGTCGTATCAAAAAGCCCTTGTATACCAATTTTCACTGTTATACATCAAATATTGTTCGAAATATTTAAAAAAAAACTATTTTAAAAAGTTAATTTAAACACCCTGTATTTCGGAAACCACGCATTTTTCGACCCATGTTTATATAGGACTTTATGCATTAATTTTAAAAGTTCTATCTAATCTTAAAGTTATGCAACAATAAACTGAAACACCCTGTATATGTAGTGTCAGGAGTTACAAGTGATTTCACCAAAAATGTGCATGTCAAAGCCGTACATAGTTCCATTAGGATATCGGAAATAGTATAAAGGTGTATATTATAGTCTGACTAGTATACACTCACACTTTCTACAAAATATCTCCGCAAGCTCTGCCGCTTGGAGGAGTTCCTCCGCAAAGTTGTTACCCACAAGAAGTCATGCTTTAGAAACCGTGTAGTTTCTTCTGAAAGACCTCAAATATTCCTCAACCTTGTAATGTTGGTCCATTCAAGGGTTCATAATTGGCGGTAAAACTTGTCAGCATCAGAAGCCTTCCGTCACAAGAACAACGCCTAGAGGGAGACTTCTCCGCGAGATAGCTGTCCAAACAGCTATAGTGGATACCAAATAAAATCCGATGCACGTCATAGGTGATGTCATTCATAAAAATCATGGTTACCAACAGTTGACTACATTCAATGTGACATTTCTACTTGAAGTTTAAATTTCCCCGTCTCGATTCGGTTGGTAGTGCCGTGCAGAGAAATGTGAGGTTGCCACTTCTCATTTGTTGACATCAGTTGCCATTGTCCTTTTGTCGTACTATTAGTTCTTTATTGTTTAGTTTGTGAGTTTTGCGCTATTTGAGCTTTGAATCGTTGCCTTGCCAATTAAAAGTTGTTCTTTTCAGAACAAAAGTTACTGTGAAGTGGTATAAAGTATCCAAAATGCCAAAACAACTTAACAGTCGGTGTAAAGAGCTCATATCAATTCTGGCAACAGCGCACAGCTCCAGATCGATGACGTGCATCGGGTTTTATTTGGTATCCACTATAGCTACTTTGGCCAGCACTGTATACGAAAATCTGCAGCGTGTAAGGCGTCACAGGGTAGTAGTAGTAGTAAAAAGATTTATTTAGCACATTTGGCTACATAAACAGAACAATTGTAAACAACTTAGAACTAGTAAATTCAAGCCATATGGTGTATGATGTAAATGCTGGGCAACCTATAATTGTAGATTTAACAAGTGATTTCTCAATTTTACTTTAAATTTTGTCAAAGTTTTCTGGTCTTTTATCTCAGAGTATAATTTATTATATTCAATCAACCCTTGATGGAATACAGATTTGTAGCATATGTTATACTTTTTGGTCGTTAAATGGAAGTCATCTTTATTTCTGGTATTATGTAAATGATGGTCGACATTTGATGATGTTAAATTAGTTAGACTTGATGGAAATATATTATTTTTTACTTTATAAATGAATATCATTACAAGATATTTGATAAAATTTTTTACATTGAGCCATTTTAATTTGCTAAGCATTTGCCTAATTGGAGTATATTTATCTTTATTTAGTATTATTCTCATGCACTTATTTTGTAAAATTTGCAGTCTTTCAAAAATGGAATTATTTGCTAAAATAGTCGAACAGTACAAGAAATTTGGAAGAATGATGGTATTATAGATAATTTTTCTGCTATATGAACTCAGATATCCAGAAACTCTCGAGAAATATCCCACTTCACTACTAATCTTATTTATAACTTTTTCATAATGAATATCAAAAATTAATCGAGAGTCAACAAAAACCCCAGGTATTTAAAATTTTCCACGAATTCAATATCTTCACCATCAATATTCAGTTGAACATTTGTACATTGTTTTTTTCCGATTAACAAGGCTTTCGTTTTACTTGCGTTTAATTTTAGTCCGTTAGATGCTAACCATTTTGAGACAAGCTTCAAGTCTTCATTTATATAAGAGATACCAGACTGGATATTTTTAGTACTTATATAAATCATAGTGTCATCGGCGAAAATTTGAATTTTGCATTTTTTGACTATGGCAGGTAAATCATTTATATATAAAATAAAAAGAAGTGGTCCCAGGATACTGCCCTGTGGAACACCCAACCTATTTTCAATTTTTGATGAAATAGTGTCATTAACTTTTGTAACTTGCATCCTTTTAGACAAAATTTCTAACAGTCGTATTCCAATAATTAAGATGCCGACCTATGAACGCGCACTTTCAAGGAGATTTATAATGCGGATTGTATTTTACAGAAATGATGGCAAGCTTTATCCCATGTTTCAGCTGTAATCTTGATGAGGCATTTGACAAAAAATTAATCAATGATTTAAAAATGTGGTGAAAGTGCGTTTAATTTTCTAACGTGGTTTGACTTCGTAAAATCATATTGGAAATTAGATATATTATCTATGGACGTACACTTCAAGGAACCTTGTATGCGAATTATATTTTACGCAAGTTATTTATTATCTGTGTTTTAGCTGCAATTTTGACGAGGTGTTCATCCAAATTAATGCTTTTACCGTTCAAATGCTTAACATACTTCATACATTCAGCTAAATAATGTTTTCATAAGATCTTACAATTTCTACATTTGCTGAAAATATTTTAGTAGAGTGGAGAGAAACTCCTATTTCATTACCTTCTCAATGGTAGATTAAAATTCTGGCTGACATGGCGTCTTAGGTACCGTTTATATACCTGTATACATAGCAGTTCCTTTAATTAAATTTACATCAACTCGCTTCTCTGAATTTAACATCCGTGTTTATTTGCAGGGCAGCGACAATAGTACTGCGAGAAAACAACTGTCACTTCCTTCGCGTAGACAAGGACAATTTCAACAGGATATTGAGAGACGTAGAAGCAAATACTGTGAGATTGAAAGAACATGGCAAGGATGTGCTCATTTTAGAGAAAATTACAACCAACACGCGACAAGTTTTTTCTTCCCATTTCAAGTAAGTACTTTAGAAAATCGTAGCTACTTCAGTGTGTCCTAAATTATTACAACTGCCATTGCCAAAAAACTATCGTGGTCTTGTTAGTGATGTTATATTGAGAATACTCATGTATCGTATACAGAGGACTACAAAAGCATATTGCAGTGGAATTGTCTGAATTTGTAGTATGTTGTACGTTATGATCTCCTAGGTACAAAATTCAGTGGACAGTTCTGAAGGTATTAAAGACTAAAGGTGAGCAACAAAAATATCCGGTAAATTGTTTCTCCACAAGTATATGTTCTACCAGAGATGACTCTTTTCGACCTGTCAAACCACTCTAATGATAGTCCTGCTCATACAGCAGTCGCCAACCTATCAGTGACTGTGTCTAAGATCCTCCCATATAAATTCCATTCCTTCTGCTTCTCTCTGCTATATAGACGGAATTCACATACCCGGATCCCAGCCACAATCACCGACAAGTCACCAACTACACCAATAGTTCAAACTCATCTGATTCCTCTGTGCTTGAGGAGGTTGTTCAGGAAGTTCATGAAAGAGAAAAGCGTAAAAAGAATTTGATGATATTTGGCTTGCCGAAACCGACAGGTACTGATGGAAAGGAAAGACTGGCTTCTGATCAAGCTGTTGTTAAATTAGACAAGGCTCGACCAGACCAGTAAAGGCAATCTTTCACTCAGAGTAGATGGTTCATACTATAATCAAGAAGACTCATACCCTAAAAAACAATGAAAAATATAAAAATACATCGGTTGCTTTTGATAAAACTCCAAAACAGATGGAGCTCTATCGCTACTTAAAGAGCAAACTGAATGAAAGGATCGCGCAAGGTGAAAGTAACCTCAGAATTAAATATTTCAATGGGATTCCGAAGATTGTTAATTTAAACGCATAACTGAACCCAATAACAGACCAAATTGTCATGAGAGACTTAAGCTAAGGTGTTCCTACCAGAACGTTCGTGGTCTCAATTCTAAGACGGTGTCATTCTTCAATCCAGTCAGTGACTACGAATTTGATTTAATTTGCTTGACTGAGACATGGCTGTCTGTGAATGTGAGTGATAGTGAATTATTTCCGGCTGAATACTGTGTGTTCAGATGTGATCGTGACTGTATTCGATCTGGCCTAGTTTCCGGCGGAGGAGTCCTGATAGCCATAAATCGCGATTTCCTTGCAATTAGAATTGACGCTAGTGCTTTGAGTCGAAACTTTCCGTCGATTGATATTGTATGTATTAGGCTTATTATTAACCATGAGCATTTTGTTATCTTTTCTATTTATATTCCGCCTTCAATTAATTTGGACATGTTTGGTCAGTACCTTGAAGCTTTGGAAGTATTTAACAATGCATTCAGTAATTGTAAAATAATTGTTGCTGGTGACTTTAATGTCGCATCATTCAACAGTGACGTTAATGATCAGAAGTCTCAATTAATGAGCAACTTTATTTCGTTTTTAGATTTAACTAACTTTAATAATATTCCAAATATAAATGGTCGAATGCTGGATTTAATTTTAGGAAATATCGAAATAGAAGTCCTCAGAGATAATACACCTTCTGTTAAAGAGGACGTTCATCATCCTGCACTGATCATGGAATTCATTACATCCGGATCTCCAACGAAATTCCCATTTGCTAATTCTCCACGGTTTAACTTTCGCAAAGCTAACTTTCCTGAAATGTACACAGCCTTGCAAGATGTTAATTGGACGGAGGTGATCAGTGCAGTTAATGTTGATGTCGCTTGTACCGCCTTGTATTCAGTTATCAATAACATCTTTGAGGTCCATGTCCCTAAATGTAAAAATAAAATGTTTTCGTATCCCCCATGGTTCACACGTGAAATTATACTTAATATCAAGAAAAAGGACATAGCAAGAAGGAACCAGAAACGTGACGGTACTAAGTTTTCTTATGATCAGTTCAGTAATTTTAGGAAGCTCATTAAGAACCAGATCAGTGTTGCCTACTCCGCTTACGTCCAATCGGCTGAGGATGCCATTGTCAATGATCCTAGCAAATTCTGGTCATTTGCCCAGATCAAAAAACAGCAATCTAGAATCCCCCCAAGGATGACGCTTAACGGCAATGTCTGCGATACGCCTCAGGATATAGTGGACAGTTTTGCTACCTTCTTTTCAACAGTGTTTATCCCATCTGGTCTACTATGGTCATCTCCTCCAACAAATAATTCTACCGATATCATTTCTTTAAAAAATATAAGTGAAGAAAACGTAATTAGGGCTTCGAAAAGATTAAAGAACAAAATTACGTCTGGATGTGATGGTATTCCAAGTTTGTTCGTTAAAGATTGCATTCATATGCTAGCGAAACCGCTGGCTTCCATATTCAACCTAATTCTAAAATCAGAGACATATCCAAATATCTGGAAGACCTCTAAAATAAGTACTATTCACAAAAATGGAGATATCTCTGATATTTCCAACTATCGCCAAATAGCAATCCTGTGCAATTTCAGCAAGTTGTTTGAGATCATCGCTTATGAAACGGTTTACTGCTCGGTCAGGGGTGCAGTCTCTATTAATCAGCATGGGTTTATGAGAGGCAGATCTACGGTCACCAACTTGGCTCTAATTACTCAATACATTTCTGAAGTACTGGACGGTCAGGGACAAGTTGATGTCATCTACACAGATATTCAGAAGGCTTTTGATCAAGTTGATCATTATGCACTTCTGGATAAGCTTAAAACAGTGGGTATGTCTGATGCAATGCTGTCGCTCATGAATTCATATTTGAGGGATAGAAGGTTATTTGTCGAATATGGTGGTCATAGGTCGAGTTACTATCAGGCCACGTCTGGGGTACCTCAAGGGTCAAATCAAGGTCCATTATTGTTTTTAATATTTATTAATGACTTGTCTTTTGAACTGAAGTGTTTCCATTTGTTTTTCGCTGATGACCTTAAAATCTGCACGTCAGTCAAGACAGTCGAGGATTACGTCATGTTGCAAGATGAGCTCTAATTTCGTCATGGTGTTCACGAAACTGTCTCAGTCTGAATGTTTCGAAATGTAAAGTTATGACTTATACAAGAAAAGTGAACTATTTAATTTATGATAATTATAACATCAATGGTCAGGTTATAGACAGATGCACCTCTTATAGAGACCTTGGAGTCATTTTTGATACCAAGCTAACGTTTACTGAGCATATACTCAATATCTCGTCGGCTGCCACTCGACTACTTGGTTTCTGTATCAGAAACTGGAAGGGTTTCTCCAATGTTGATACATTAATGACTTTATTTTTTACTTTTGTCAGGAGCAAGTTGGAGTATGCGACTCTGCTCTGGTCTCCTATATACCAAAATTCTGTCGTGATCCTTGAGGCCATTCAACGTAAAGCTTTAAAGTATTTTCACCTTAAATGCACAGGTTCTTATCCAGAAAGAGGTTGTGACCATAGTGCCATATTAGAGTCTTTCAATTTGGATTCACTGTCAACAAGACGAAACATATTTGCTTTGTCGTTTTTGTATGGCCTCATTCACAATAAAATTGACTGTTAAAATTTACTTGAAAAAGTATGTTTCCGCGTTCCAAGGCTAGGGAGTCGACAGCAAATGGCATTCTATTGTCAAGCTGGCCGTACAAATTTTATGACAAAATCGCCAATTAATCTCATGTGCTGCGTCATGAACAGTGTTACTGAATCGTGTGATATTTACAGTGACAGTTGTGCATCGATTATTAACTGTTATAGATCATCCAATCTTATTTAGAATGTGTGATACTATAGATTTAAGTCCAAGAACCATGTCTCTTTAATTGTTATTTTTTTCAGCGTTTCCTGTAATTGGGTTTCACCTGTTGGAAATAAATAAATAAATAAATAAATAAAACTACGCAATATTGAGCGTCTCAGTTTTTGATTGTATTAGGAAGTATCGCGATTACCAATCAATGCTAGGAAATTATTTTTCATACTAATGCCAAAATGCCAAAACCTTTCAAGCAGATTGTTCCACGACCCTAGGAACAAAGGAGCGATAGTACTGGCCAGTTCGCTGGATTTACAGCATTCGACAGAGTTAAGAAGCTTAATCCGTGGCAGCATCATTGAGATCAGCACTGAGAAACAAAGCCCGTTGGCACACCGGTAGATGTGAGCCTGATCGCCGACCCATCGTCGGTGTGAAAAATGCACGAAACTGTCCATTAAACAAGTGTCGGGCACTCCTCCTCTGAACAGCATCCATTAAGGATAATGTAGTCGTAATAATAATAATAATAATAATAGCTTTATTGTCCAACAGTTTCCCATTTATAGGACAATTTATAGACATAATACAAAAGCAAAAAAAAGCGTAAAAAAGCGAAAAGAAAACAACAAATGCAACACAGGTATAAATTTGTAACATGAGCTATTGGTCCGAATAAGCCTTAGCTGCCTTTAGCAGGTAATTAACATTTGTCGTAAATATATCACAGTAACATCCAATTCTGTTTAAGTTAGAGCACATTGGCAGCACCACAAACATGTGAGCAGTACTCGAGGCGGAGCGTTATTTCGGCTATTACAGTAAGGCGGCTGTGTAGAAAAAACTACTTCTTGTTTCTGAACAGATAGTCCAACTTTTTCGCAGCAGCTGCCGCGACTGGCGAAGTATATTCGAATTAAATCCAAGTCGTCGATGATCCGACCATCCGACATGAATCGCATCTTGGCAGAACTTGGTCATCATCGAAACCGGATGTACAGTATTTTAGGGTGTTTCTTGTTAATCATGAAAGTACTGCTTCCTACAGGATCCGCGCTTCCACTTAACCACTGGTATTAGGTTTACATCATAATAAGATAAGCATATATATAAATGAGGTAAAAAAATATATGTATGTATAAGCAGTATCAGAGAATGGACCCTAGCGGCTAATTTGATAAATGGTACTATAAAAATACATAATGACTCCAAAGTCATACCATGCAATTACCTGCAATGTAATAGCGTATACGTTTTTTAAACAAA